GGAGAGGGGATGTGCGTGGGGGGCTGGAGGGCCCATGGGGTCAAAACAGGCTGGGAGGTCAGGGGGAGAGGGTGACATGGCCCCTTCCCAAGCCCTGGCAGCCTGGGGAAGCCGTGTCTCCCCGCTCCACTGGGCTGGGCGTTGGGAGCCCTGGATCCTGAGCTGCCTCTGATCCACTGGGAGAGTCTGGTTCAGGCCTCGGTTTCCCCAGCCATCTGCCCAGGGAAGGCTGGATCAGCCTGCCCACAGAAAGTCCCAGTGGCCCTGCGGACACAGAAAGCAGAGTCCACAGAATGGCACAGCTGGGCTGCGCAGCCCCCAGGACATCTGGGGAGCATCCCTCCCAGTGCGCCAAGCTGGAGGCCCCAGGGGAGGCTGCCTTCCTGGGGAGGTTTCGCTGTCAGAACAGGGCACACAGCGAACTCCGTCTGAGCTTCAGTTTACCCATCTGTAACCCAAAGACAAAGTTGTGAGGACTGAATGAGAGCCTGTCTTGGCACTCATTCCTTCAGTGTTTCCCGAAGCCCTAGGATGCTAGGTGCTGGGGAATGTGATGAACTAGCCCAGCAGCAGGCACCCCTCAGACAGCACCACCCCTATCACCCCCAGGAAGCAGGCCAGGTGACGGTGCTTGGAGGCTGCTCCGTGGCCCCTGTTCTCCAGCGGGAAACTGAGGCCCAGTGGCCCATGCCAGGGCTGCGGGGAGTTGGGGCAGTTCCCGGAACCCAGCCCAGGGCTCCTCTGGGCCAGGCAGCCCTCCCCCTACAACAGGACTCCCGGGCCCCTCCAGCCCTGCTTCCTGGAACAGCTGGAGGCAAAATGCCTGCCCAGGGGTGAGGTGCAGGCCTCGGCTCTCACAGGCTTTTATCCCTAGGGTGGGAGGGGTGGGAGATAAGGCTTCAAAGCCACCTGCAAACGCACCTTGAAAAGCCCGGCCTGTCCGGTCTGCTGGTGGTGTTACTGGATTGATAGATGAGGGTGTGGGCAGCGGCCAGGCTGGGCCTGCCGCTGTGGCCCTCAGATAAATGGGTCACCTATTAATGTGGCCCTGTAGACGGGGGGGGGGGGGGGGGGGATGGGCTAAAGGGTCCAGGCTGATTTCAGTGATGTCTGGGGCTGCAGACAGGCTTCTGATGACCCGGCTGGACCCTGAGGTCGTGGACCCCAGGTGGTTGTGGGCTGGCGGGGTGCGGGGTGCGGGGGGCACGTGTGGTCCTGGTCTGGGCACAGCTGGGAGGGGAGACATCCCCCCCTTCACGCAGCCTCCGCACCAGGCCCCCAATTTTCCAGTTCCCTTTCCTTTTTTTTAAGATGTATGTATGTATGTATTTATTTATTTGAGAGAACGAGAATGAGAGAGAGCACACGAGAGGGGGGAGGGTCCGAGGGAGAAGCCGACTCCCCGCCGAGCAGGGAGCCCGGTGCGGGACTCGATCCCGGGACTCCAGGGTCACGACCTGAGCTGAAGGCAGTCGCCCAACCGACTGAGCCACCCAGGCGCCCTCCAGTTCCCTTTCGATAGCAGAGGCGCTGCAAGATGGCCACTTGCAAATAAGGCCACAGGCCTCCCCGTCCTCCCTCCCCACTCCCAGGCAGCCTCTGCTTGGGCAGACTGTGCCCCCCCCACGTCCTTCCCCGCGCAGCCATCTCCGAGCGCACGGGAACACCCTCCAGGGTATAGTTCATCTGGGGCACTCACAAACGTGGGCAGCCACACGACTAGATTCCAGAACATTTCATCCCCCCAAAACCAAACCCCGTACTTATTAGCTGTGGCTTCCCGTGTTCCCCGGCAACGACTAACAACAGTCTCTATGGATTTGCCCGTTCTGGACATTTCCTACTACAGTATGTGATCTTCTGGGTCTGGTTTTGTTCGCCGAGCACCCTAGTTTTGAGGTTCATCCGTATCGTAGCGAGTGACAGCACTTCACGCCATTTAAGGCTGAGCAGTGTCCCACGGTAGGGCGGGACCACAGTGCTGTCCCCCCCGTGCTTGCCCGTGCGCGTGCGTGTGTGCACGTGTGTGTGTGTGGAATCCTCCCCCTCTCTCTCTCCACTCAGCTGTTCACAGACACATGGCTTCCACCGTCGGGCGACTGAGCACTGCTCCTGCCAACATTACGTACGAGGTTTGGGTGAAAGGCCTGTTTCCAGTTCTCCTGGAGGGAGAGCCGGCCATGGAACCGCTGGGCCCATGGTGGCTTCCGGCTGGACTTTCTGAGGAACTGCCCCCGGCTGCAGGACTTTAAAAACTTCTCAGGTATTTAACTGTGCAGCTAATGAGAGTCGCTGACAATCTTGAGTGCGACGTATCCCGCACACCGTGATAGAGTCACCGGGTCCTTGCTACAATCCCCTGCGTAACTACTATGGTGCCTGGAAGGCGGGTCAGGGAATGACAGGATGGGTAGGTAGATGGAGATGGGTAGACGGACGGATGGACACACAGATTGGTCTATGGATGGACGGACGGATGGATAGACAGACAGATGGACAGAGAGATGCTAGATGCCCAGGCCCTGCCCTGGGGACCGGGGGCCAGCACGTCAGAGGTGAAGCTCGCAGGCAGTTTGTATAATCGGGTCGGTCCTAGAAGCACGATGTCACCCTCCTGTCCAACATGGCGTCCCTCAAGATGAACGTGCTCACTGTATTTAGCCGTTTCCCACCCACAGACGTTCACGCTGCTTCGGTTTCCGAGCTTTGGTTTCCCCATGACAGTGTGCCACATGGCTTCTTCCTTGAGCCCGGGTACGGCTGATTCCCGCAGAGAGCCGAGACGTGGAACCCCGAGGGGCCTCCCTGCGGTGGAGGGCTCCCAGGACCGGTGCCGGGCTCTGAGCTGGGCCGTGACAGAGACCCAGGTGCGGGAGAGCGACAGCGAGGGGCCGGGGTGGGAGGGTGGCTCGGGGGTCAGTGCGCTGCAGGGTCTCTACCAGGGCCGGGATCCAGATGAGGAGAATGTGTGCAAAATTGAGGGCGGCACCAAAAACTCAGTAATCGAGAGGAATAACACATTGTTGCATTTTGCTTTAATTAAAAAAAATTTTTTTTAAAGATTTTATTTATTCATTTGAGAGAAAGAACAGAGGGAGAGTCAGAGGGAGAAGCACACTCCCCGCCGAGCAGGAAGCCCGATGTGGGGACGGATCCCAGGGCCCTGAGATCGTGACCTGAGCCGAAAGTAGGCCCGTAACCGGCTGAGCCCCCAGCCGCTCCGCTTTAATTAAAATTGTTATTGAGACCATTGCGGATTCACTGCAGCTGTAGGAAGTAATCAAGGGATTGAAGAGTGTGCTTTTGACACAAAAAGCATCACCCCAGCCCGTGCTTGCCCGTTGTGCAAGCACATGCGTGGGCATACGTGTCTGCACGTGCGTGTGTGAAATTCTACAGCTTTATCTTCTCTGTGGGTTTCTGCAGCCACCACCCATGTTGAGGCAGAACGTTCCCAACGCCCTTTTGTGACTTTCCCCTTGTTCTTTTATCAGCACACCGCCTCCCTCCCTGAGCCCTGGCGGCCGCTAATTAATGTGTTCTCCGTTTCTAAAACTTGTCATTCCAAAAATATTGTATAAATGGGATCATGCAGTAGGTGACCATTCAGGACCGCTCTTCCCTTCTGCATGACGGGCTGAGGGTCCCCAAGTTGGTGGGTGCGCGTCCCAGAGCTTCCTGCTGTGGGCTGCTGAGCAGCGCGGCGCGGTGCGGACGGACCAGCGTGTGTACCCCACAGGGAAGGGCAGCGGGGCCGAGGCCTCCAGCGACTGTGGGCACTCGGACGCAGGTGTTGTGTGAACAAGTCTTCAGGAGAGCACTTGCTGAGTCGCATGGTAGTCGCCCGTTGAGTTTTTAAAGAAGTTGCCAATACTACTGCAATGCAAGATTTTAGAGGATCAAAATCAATAGAAACATTCCACAGTGACCAGGGTATGCAGTTTTAAACAGAGACAGGGCTGGGGTGAGGGAGCAAGGTGCTCCGTCTCAGGGCTGTGTGAGGGTAGGGTCGCCTCTGCGCTAGGCCCCTGCTGCGGAGCCCTGAGCCGACCTGAGCAGCCGGCCTTGCGCCTCTGCTTTTTCATCTGTAGGAGGGGCTGACCGCGTGTCCACCTGTCGTATTGCTGGGAAGAGAGGGTTGTCAGACACGTGGCCCAGGGCCAAGCCAACTGGGGGGGGTCCCTTCATGGGACCTTCCCTGTTCTCCACCTGCCACCTCCCAGGGACAGCCCTCTGCTTTTCCAGTCCAGCAGCTAGGGGTCTCCTCAGAGCCTTGGGTCTGATCTCCCTGGACGGCCCTGCTGATGCCCATAGACCAGCCCCTCTGTGGCGAGTCCTCCCCCTGCATCGCGCGAAGCTCCTTAGAGCAGCCCTTCTTGGCTGCAGAGAGGTCAGGCCCTTTCTCAGGCTCGCGTGGCTACTTCCTCTTGGTTAGCAGGGTAACCTCAGGACGCAGTCCCCCAGCCCCACCACCTGGCACATGGTGGGTGCTCCCGAGGACATCCCACCCGGGGAAGATTTGGTCTGTTATTGAAGAAAGAACGTAAGAAACGGTCCCCAAATGGAAGGACGCGTGTGTCCACAGAGGAAGGCCCTTGAGGGCCAGAGCAGTGACATGAGCAAAGCCCCATGTCTGGACATCTTGGGGCAACGTTTCCAAGGACCTGGAATCAGGAGGCAATCCTGGGAAGCTTCCAAAAAGAAAGGAAGAGGTCCTAGGTGGGGGATCAGGACTTCTCCCCAGGGGTTCTGGAGCAAAGTCTCGCATTCTCGAGACCATGGTTTCCAACCTGGGAGTGTCTCCCCAGCTGCTCGTCAGCTCGGCGTTAGGACCGGAACGCACTTCCGAGGTAGGAGGCGGCTTCCTGGGCAAGCGGCGGCGTCTGTGTTCCAACAAAGAGGGCGTCAGTCGGGAGCAGAAGGCTAGGCTCCAGGACAGGGGTCCCCACCTAGGATGGAAGTGAGGGTGTAGGGAGGTGACGCCAGGGGTGGGAGCCACCAGCTGCAAGGGCCGGTCTCAGGGGTGCACTCGAGTGGATTGAGAAGGGGTGTAGACAATTGCAGGCAGGTTTGGGCGGTATTTGCTGATAGGAAGACAAAAGACAATAATTTGTTTCCGGGTGTCCAAAAGTTGTGCAAAAAGGGGGAAAAAAATCTTAGCACATTCCCAAGCTCACCTCTGAATAGTGTTGGTTTTCTTGTTTTAGAGACTGTTTTAGGTTCACAGCAAAACTGAGTGAAAGTACAGAGGTTTCCCGCGTGCCCGCTGCCCCCACACGCACGGCCTCCCCGTCGTCCACATCACTGACCGGAATGGTGTAGGTCGCACAAGGATGAGCCTACACGGACACGCCGTCATCACCCAAAGTCCGTGGTTCACCCCCGGGTCACTCTGGGCGCCGTGCGCTCTGCGGGCGTGGACAGACGCATCGTGACGTGCGTCCAGCTTTAGAGCGTCACACGGAGTAGTCTCCCTGCCCTGAAGTCCCCCACTGCCCTCACCCCACCTCCCGCCACCCCAGCGACCACTGGTCTCCTTACGTCTCCGTCCCTGTGCCTTTTCCGGAAGGTCGCAGAGTTGGAATCCCACAGCGTGTGGCCTTCTCAGATGGGCTTCCTTCACCGAGTGACAAGCGTCTGGTTTCCTCCCTGTCTTCTCAGGGCTTGAGAGCTCATGTCTTGTCAGCCCTGAATCCTATCCCATCGTCTGGACGGACCACGGTGTAGTTGTCCATCGCAGGCTGAAGGACGCCTTGGTCGCTTCCAAGTTTTATCAACTGTGAGTAAAGCCGCTTTAAACACCCGTGCGCAGGTTTTGTGTGGACGTGAGGTTTTAACTCTTTTAGATAAATACCACGGTGCATGATTGCTGGATCGTATGGTGAGAGTATGTTTAGTTTTGCAGCAAAACACCAAACTGCCTTCCGAAGAGGCTGCGCCATGTTGCCTTCCCGCCCACAACGCATGAGAATCCCTGCTGCCCCGCGTCCTGGCCCGTGTTCGGTGTCGTCGGCCTTGTGGGTTTGGGTCCTTCTGATGGGTGTGCAGACGTCTCGCCGCCATTGTCATGGGCATTTCGCTGATGACACGGGACGAGGAGCGTGTGTTCGGGTGCTCGTCTGTGCGTCTTCTGTGGCGAGGGGCCCGTTCGGGTCTTGGGCCCATGTTTTAATTGGGTTGTTTGTGTTTTTGTATTTTGGATGACTGTCCTTTATCGGATGTTTCTTTGGCGAATGTTTTCTTCCAGTCTGTGGCTTGTCTTCTCACTCTCGTGGTGTCGTCTTTTGGAGAGCAGACGTGAATTCTCACGTGCTCCAGCTTGTCAGCTTTCTCTTTCACGGATCCTGACGTGGTGTTGTGGTCACTTGGATTTCCTCCTGGGTTATCACCTAGGAGTTGATAGTTTGCACTTTACGTTTAAGTCTGTGACCCACTTGGAGTGAATTTTCGTGAAGGGTGTGAGACTGCGTCTAGATTTGTTTTTCTGCAGGTGGACGCCCGGTGGGCTCGGCACCGATTACGGAAGAGCCGGTCTCTGCTCCATTGCGCTGCCTTCTCTCCTTTGTCAAACATCAGTTGACTGTATTCCTGGGGCCTGTTTCGGGGCTCTGCTCTGCCCCACTGGTCTGTCAGTCTCTTCTTCTGTGGGACACACGGGCGTGATTGCTGTGGCTTTGCCGGAAGTCTCGACGTCGGGTAGTCACCCTCCAGCTCTGTTCTGTACTGCGTTGGCCGCTCTGGGTCTTTTGCCTTCTCTCCGTGAGAACTTTAGGGGCCGTTTGTCCATATCCATGAAATAACTTGCCGGGAGTTTGAGTGGGACGGCAGTGAATCTCCCACTGTCCCAAAACAGACTTCCCCGGCGGCAGGGCGAGGGCCCTGGGGAGGGGGCAGAGGGGCCGGGAGCCATCCCCCTACCTCTGTAGCCCCAGCTTCCTTTCTGGGACAATGGGGGCTCCCAGCCCACCACGTGCCCTCCTAAGACTATTTTATTTGTTGCCATTTTGTGGCTGAAAAGGGCCCAGACCCCTCAGCCTATCGGCCAGGCGGGACATGGCCTTAGGGAGGGGGTTTGTCAGCAAAGGCCATCTTGCCCCTGAGCACAGTGTCCTGGTCACTTGGGCTGCGACGCTCACCTCAAGACCCCGCCCAGAGCAGGGCCAGCAGTTCTGGGCCTCCTCGTCGGACTCCAGGAAGCTGAAAACTTGTTTTTCTGCTTACTTGTCCCAGGATATAAACAGCGTCGACGGCCAATGGCAGCACTCCCAGGCCCTGCATGTGTGCACAGGACGGCCCTCTGGCTTCCTGAGCTGCGGGGATTTATGCAAGCGCGTAATGGGGATTGTTAATCACCGCAGGTCGGGAGAACTCCATCCATGATTCTAGGAGGGGAGGAGGGGGTGAGGAGGTGTCCGTGACAGGAGTGATCCCAGCCTTGAGCTGGCTGTCTGTCGGCACATCACAGATAATAAAACTGCATCTTCCTGCGGGGCACGGGCAGAGTGTGTCAACCCGAGATGCTGCAGCTGACGCCTCGTGGCCAGGAGCGTCCCGTCAGAAAGCCAAGGTCCATGCACCACGCATCCCGCACACATCATAAAGATATAGTAATGGTACGCGTGTCTTTAGAGAAATACTAATATTGTTGCTTTATGGGAAGTAAGAGTTGAAAATATTAAAAGTCAGAATTTTATTGCCAAAAAGGAAGTTAAATGATGAGGATGTGGGAAGGGAGATCCAAATATCTCTTGCCATCGGTCCCAGCGTCCTGGAGGCGGGAGGGTGGGAGGCCACCTGGGTGGACCTGCGGGCTGGCGAGGAGCCGCCTCCTACTCGGGAACGGCCCGAAGATGCCCAGAGAGGCCAGAGAGTCGCAGACCAGGGAGAGGGGCTGAACGTGCCCGGGGCGGGGGCACGGCGGCGCCAACCTGGCCTCCAGTGAGCACAGGGTCTCCTGGCTCTGGACAAGGGCAGGGATGTCCCGACGGCTTGCTTTCACTCCAGATCTTTCCAGAAGGAAATGCTTCTGGCTACCATGGGCTCCTTGTTGGGTGGTAATGCACCATGGGGCAGGATTTAAGTCTTTATTTTATGGATCAGCTTGAACAACCCGATGAAAGGAGCAAATCAAGGGGCCAGGGAAGCTACTGGGGATGGGCAGGGTACCAGGTGGGTTCCTGGCAGTCCCCCAGCCCCCCGGCTCCGGGAGTTGTCCCCGTGGGTGCGGAGGGACCAGTGATGGGTGTGTCTGGCTGTGGCTGACGTTCCCCCCCAGCCCCCTCGGGGTCTGCCAGGGACAGAGTCCTGAGCTCTGAGCACGGCTCTCCGGGCCCTGGCGGGAAGGCCTCCCCCATGTGTGCCCTGGGACCCCGCACACCCAGGTTAGGATCTTCCAAAATTTTGCTGAGGTTTATTTCTTTTTTTAAAGGTGAGGTTCCCATGATTTGAAATGAACCATTGTGGAGTGAACGACTGAGTGGCGTTTAGCGCCTTCACGGTGGTGTCAACCGCGGTGTGTCGCGCCTACACACTTTCATCACCCGGAAGGAGCCCCGCGCCCCATGAGCAGCTGCTGCCCGTCCTCCGGCCCCAACTGGCCTGCTCTGGACGCTGCCGGTAGATGGAGTCCCACGTGTGGCCTTGGCTCTGGCTTCTCACCCTGGGCAGCACGTGTCTGAGGCTCGTCCACGGGGTGACCGTGCCGCGTCCCCTCTTGCAGCCGAGGCGCGCTCCAGGGTGTGCGTGGCGCACCGTGATTCCGGCCGGGGCTGCTGTAGGGCTCGGACGCGTGGAGCCCAGAGCCTGCTCTCAACCCTTCTGCGTATTTTGCTCCAGAGGGAGACACATTTCCTTCCCAGTCCTCGGAGCTCCCGACTAGCCGCCGCTGCGGTGGAGCTTGGCCTGGCGGCCCGCGGTTCATGCAGCGGCACACTTGATGGGAAGCGTTCGGTTTGAAGCCCTTTGGACCCTTCCCTCTCCTCGCCGCTCCTTCCCCCTCCCGCCACGCAGCCCGCTCTGGTGACCGGGGTCTCTTGCAGCGCCCTTGAGCCTACCATGTGCAGCCTCCCGGCCAGAGTGATGTGTGCGAGGGCCGTCCACCCGCGGCGGTCCCTCCCTCTCGCACGACCACTCCCCGCGCTGTGCCTTCCACGTCCTTTGGGAGCAGCATGTCTTGGCCTCTGCACCCCACGTGACATGCAATGACTAATACATTTGAAATGACAGCAAGTAGCCATTCACACCTTTCTGTTCTGCCAGAAAGGATGGCCCGGGAGGGCAGAAACCGTGGCTGGCCTGCTGCCCTGGTGGCAGGGGGGCAGGAGTGAGCTGGGGGCCTTGCTGGTGCTGCCCGCTGGACTCTCCGTGCCCGGATCGGAGCCCACCGCCCTGAGGGACACCCCGCCCGGCCCCAGCACCTGTGCAGAGCACCAGGGAGGCAGCCAGGTGTCTACCTCCAAAGAAAGCCCCAGCCAGTGGGATTGTGAGTGGACACTTCAGGGTCTGTGAGGACATGCAGGACAGTGTCCCCACCCCAAGACAGGGGCTGGAGGCCAGTGCATGGAGAGCCCCTCCAAATCTTCAGTAATGCCTCCCACAGGGAGAAAGAGCTCCTCCCTGGCCTTTTGCTTTAGGGTGGCGGTGGGCGGATGCCTTCCTCCCTACCTGACACAGGTGGGTCACTAGGTGGCCCGGGGCATGGCTCCCTGACTGTGAGCAGTGGTGAGAGCCCCAGAGCGGAGGCTGGGAGGCTGCAGACGGGCCCTGGGACCCTCCCTTGCCCAGGGAGGTGTGGCCCCGGGGCTGAGGCCTGTGTGGTCCGTTACGTCCCATGTTGCTTTCCCAAACACGCACAGTTACATAAACGATGATAACACTTCATAAACATTTTTCTAACATGCGGAATGTTTGACATGAATTTCAGCTATTTTAGAACTAATAAACAATTGTCAATGTCACGGTCGACATGGAGCAGAAGCCACAGCGCTTTATGGAAGATCAAAGGCGCGAGCAAAGGTCTCGTCTTTAAAGAAAAAGAGAGGATGGGAGGGAAGCACACCCTGGTCCAGAAGGCAGGGGCTCTGTGGCTCTGGGCAGTTGGCGGGATCCTTGGGCCTGGGCTGGCGGGCAGGGGCCCTCGGAGTCCAGAGGTGCTGGGCCCCGTCCCGAGGCGCCGGCTCCCTCGGGCTCAGCCGACCAGGTCCTCTGTTCGGAGGTGCCTCTAACGGCTCACCACACTGACATCCGTGCCTGTCCCAGCGAGGGCTTTCTGGGGCGGGCTCTGCCTTGGTCAGTGTGCGCCAGCAAGCTGCCAGGCAGCTCACAAGCTGCCCGGCCTCAGAGCCCAGGGCTGGCGCCAGAGTGCCGGCCTGCAGAGGCCAAGCCACCGCCCCAGCGGGCTGTGCCACGGGCTTGCCTCAAAGATGTGCTCCATCTGTGTGCGGCCCAGGGCAGCCCTGGGAGTCAGGACACCTGAGTGCAGGAGGTCCCAGTCGGCCACCGGCCCAATGGGCCTGAGGGCTGCTGCTGTGGTCTTCCCATGTGTCATGTGGGTGTCATTGTGGCACTGCTGGGGCTGGGTGCTGCTCAGGACGTGTCGATGATGCTCAGAGGACCCTGAGCCAGAGCGAGGCAGCTGCCCTTGTAGGGCAGGGATGCTCCGAGCCGAGGGAGCAGAGGGGACCCCAGGTGACCGTGCAGGAACAGGTGTGTGGGGGTTGCCCAGAAACAGAGACCCCACACTTATGGGGGCAACGTAATAGGGACAGATGCATCACCTGTTTTCCTGTGAGCCCCAGGGAGAAGTGGACAGGCCCTTCTCACCCTCTATGTCCACGAAGTCAGGGCTGGGCTGAAAGAATGCCTGCACAAAGGAGGGAAGGAGGCTCTACCTGCCTGGCTGCTGGCTCTCAGCCACTTCCCTGAGTGCTCCTGGCCCCAGGGACCCTGCCCCAGCTGCAGTGACTTGTGGGTTCAGGGTCCCATTTGTACCTGAAGTGGTCCCAAAGGCTGCATCCTCCCAGCATGTATGTCTTCTGTCCTACTTCCCAGAGGCCAGTGAGAGGGTTTCACAGGCAGTCCGTGGCCACTTCCCACGGGCACAGCGTGTCCCCCTGAAGTCTGTCCCAACCCTGAAGACTGTGTCCCTCTCTCCTCCGAATTCTGCACAGCCCCGCCTTTACTCAGAGAGGCAGAGTCTTCCCAGAGGCTGGCAAGGCGCCGTGACCTGGGCCGCGCCCTCTGTGCTCTCCTCTAGCCTCCTGGCTCCCTCTTCCCCGCCCCTGCCTCAGGGCCTTTGCACCAGTTGTCTGCTTTTCTCATTTTCTTCTTCACACATTCTTCTGTCCTGCCCTCACTCAAATATCCACTCCAGGAGGGGAGGGGCTGGCCGCCTTCGCAGATGCCTCTGAAGAACCTCAATGGGACTGGCCTGTGTTGTGGGGTGAACTGTGTCCCCCAAAAGATATGTTGAAGTCCTAACTCCCAGAACATATGAGTGTGGTCTCATTTGGAAGTAGGGTCTTTGCAGATGTGGTCACGTTAAGATGAGGTCACTAAGGTGGGCCCTGATCCGACGGCCAGTGTCCTCCTCAAGGTCACATCCCGGGGCCAAGGGAGGATGGAGGCAGGGTTGGGAGGGATGCGGCCACAAGCCCAGGGATGCCTGGGGCCTCCAGGACCTGGGGGGGTGGGCAGGACGGACCCTCCCCCTGGAGGCTCCCTCTGGAGGCACCCGATTTCAGACTTCCCGCCTCCAGAACTGGAAGGGCATAGATTTCTGTTGCTGCTTCCCCAGGAGACTAACAGCACATCCTCAACGATGAGAAAATATTTCAGAGTGAACTAATAGTTGAGGAAATGCAGAATTCCTTACTGTGACATCCGCCTCTGCCAGTGACGGTCCCAGGTAACCTCGGGGCCGGAGGCTTCCCAAGTTGTGCTCCCTCGGGGACAGGCTGTGTGCCCTCCGTGGCCCGGCTGGCTCTCGCCACCCCACTCCCCACCCAGCCTAGCACCCTGCACCCTCCTTCTCCCTGACTCTCCCCTTGAGCCTGGGGCGGGTGGGGGCAAGGTGGAGGCGAGGAGCCAGCCCAGCCCATTTCCAGGGTCCCAGGGCTGGGACAATTTGATCTTCACACGTGGAGCCCACAATTACCCAGGAGAGTGACAAACCGGTTTGTAGCCTGGCTGGGGAATTCAGAGAGAATGTCCCGGTAAGTGTAGCCCCTGCTTCGGCCTTCTGTTACTGTGGGGAGGACCCTGCTGGTCACTGCTGGCCTCGCCTGCCAGTCCCACTGGCTGTCTGGTGGCCCCATGCACCTGAGGGCTCATCTGGGAGGGACCTCGGAGGGAGGCGTGGGGCTGCTGGTGGGAGCGGGACGCCCTAGGGATCACCCTTCTCTCTGTGGCACCCTGGATTCTGCCTGGGCCTCCCCCCCCAGGGTCAGTAGCACAGGAGCTCCCACTCACGTGCGTCGCACCCACGCCGGCTGGAGCCAAGTAGAGGGTGTAGTGGGGGCGCACATCACTCCGAGCCCTGGTGTGTGGGATACCGCTGCTGGGAAGGCAAATGGGCTGCGTGGCCTGGCCACCAGCCTCCACTCCATCCCTCTAGAACCTCATCTGTGCCTCGGCCTCAGAACGCAGACCCTGGGAGCGGCCGTCTGAGGAGGGCCTCATTCGGCAGTTTGGTTTTTTGCATGAAGTGGACTGTCCCGAGGACTTCCTCGTGTGGGGAGCCCATGGCCGTGCTCGCTTTCCAGCCCCTCCAACCATAGCCTTGGGGGGCTGCCAATCTCTGCAATAATAGGCAGAGCTGTGATAATCAGAGGCACAGAGAGGTTAAGTGACTTGCCCAAGGCCACACAGCTAGGATGTGCAGAGCTGGGGTGTGGCCTGGGTCCCGGCTCCTACCCAGCCTGCACCTGTCCCTCCCCAATGGCATGTGACGTCCATCGAGGCTCACCTGCTTGTGTGGAGGACCCGCGGGGCCAGGGCCGGCCGTCTGTGCTCACCACTGTCCAGTTGCTGGCCCTGCTGCTAAGGTGTGTGCAGGGTCCTGGCAGCACTAATTATGGGGGTGGGGCAGGTGGGTTCCAGAGGACACCGTGTGGCTGCACTTGTCCACCCTCCGTATGGCCCTTCCTATGTGGCCCAGCGTGGGTAGTGGGAGCAGAGTGAGGAGCCCACGGACTACCTCCTGGTGCCTGGAGCTGGTCATGGCCCTGGGGGAGGCCGTCATCCTCTCAGAGGAAATGTGAGACCCGGCAGACCGGCCTGGCACTTCCTCCTCGCCTCCAGGCCCAGCTGGGCCCTGCTGACCTGCAGCTGCAGCCCCGGGGTGTTAGGGCCCTATCCTTTCAGCTGGGCACCCAGCAGCCCATCACGGTGTTCTCATTGGAGAACGCGGTCTCCCCTCCTCCTGGCTGTCGCCCCCACCAGGCCCCTTCCTCCCCCGGCCATCAGCAGACACCTCTGCCTGGCAGCAGAGCCTGGCACGACCCCCACCCTGCCTGGGTGGCCCGACTGCTCTGGGGTGTTGGCCAGCAGGCTGTGTGGAGAGCCCACCCCATCTGTCACTGACAGAGGCTGTGTCCATGGACCTGGGGGTTCAGTCTGCGGAGGTCTCGTCCCCAAGTGCTGGCTCGACCTTCCTCTTTGGGTGGAAACTAACCATAGGAGTCCAGCTGGCCCGGTGTCACGGAGGGGACTGCGGGGGGCCTAGGCTCTGCCTTCCTCTCCCATACCTCGGGAAAGGGGGCAGGAGGGGGTGCAGCCTGGCTCCCGCCCTCCCCCCTACCTGGCCCCCTGCCCGCAGAGCTTGTGCCACCTGCACCTTGGAGCCAGGTACGCCCACACGCCCCAAACTGCACCGCGCCTCCTGCCCGCCCCGCCTCCCGCCCCTCCCTCCTCCTCCCTCCCCCGCCTCCCCCCCCCCCCCGCCTGCCCCGCCTCCTGCCTACCCCGCCTCCTGCCCGCCCCACCCCGCCTCCTGCCCGCCCCGCCTCTTGCCCCCCCCGCCCCGCCTCTGCCCGCCCCGCCTCCTGCCCGCCCCTCTCCCTGACCGCCCTGCCTCCTGCCCACCCCCCCACCCCACCTCCTGCCTGCCCCGCCCCGCTCCACCCCGCCTCCTGCCTGCCCTGCCCCGCCCTCCCGCACAGGTGCAGACCAGGGCCTCGAGGCCAGCTTGGGTCACTGCACGCTCATCCACACGGTGACTCTTTCATTTAGTAGCAAATGCGCACAGGTGTCTATAGCGCCTCACCGTTGCCTCGGTTTGGGGATAAAGCCCCGTGGAGCTGTCTCTACCTGTGCTGTCCGCATGGGGGCCCTGCGTCACTCGTGGCTGCTGAGGACCAGCCGGTCCCAGCGGAGCCGCCCGGTCCGTGTGGAACAAACACGGGACTGCAAAGACCCAGCTCAGACACGTTCGAGAACCCGGAGGGTCACATCAGCACTTTCTGTGGCACTAACGTGCTGAAAGGGTAACAGTTTGGGTACACGGGTTAAAATAAGTTATTACATACATCCCGCCGGTTTCTTTCCCGTCTTCATGCGGCCTGGCATTTTGCAGTCACGCACGTGGCTCGAGGCATGGCTGTACCAGACAGTGCCGGGCTGGACAGCACACAGACACGTGTGTGATAAGGACATTCCAGATCCCGGTGATGGCCCCACAGAAGAAAACGGGGTGGCTCACTGAGAGCGGAATCAGGGTCAGCTCCTTCTCTCAGACCCTGTGCACCCTGCTCTGCCTCCATGGGCCTGTGACTGGAGTGAGCCGAGTCCTGGGGCCGTGGCTGACCCACCGTGGCCTGTTGAGGGAGCCCTGCCTTCCCGTCTCTGGGGGGCGGGGATGTGGTCTGGCCACCTCACCAGCACGCCCAGCAGCTCAGGAGAGCTGTGGTTGTGAGGTTCATGCACTTTGAGGTAAAAGGATCTGGGCCCATATGGGCATATGGGTCGTGGGTTTTGCG